ATCACTAAAAGTACACGCTCTCATGAATCTAAAGTCTTTCCGACCTGAAAGAGACACCTTGTATCGTGAAAAAAGCCATTTGAATAGCTTATTTGTTCAGCATGAACTGAATTCTAGGTTTCAGAAGGCGCGTTTTTCCACATGATAATTCTCACATGTTAAACTGAATTAGATTCAACCATGAATAATGAATTTCAGGGTTCGAATGCTAATATAATTGAGATTAAAGAAGAGAAAAAAACTATATCAGTAACAGCTTTCACACAAAACGATGATAGAGGACAACATATTTAAGAAAATGGCGATATATGCAATTAAATGTCAAAAAGTGCCTTCCGATTTTTTTTTAGAAATCTTATGAAAAAATTCCGATTTACAACTTTTGAATTTGGCAACCCTGGTTACAAATAGAGTCCTGTCATGTTATGAGAGCCTTAAAAGATTGAAACTCATGATATATTAAATCATTGAATTGAGTAAGTATACTGATTGGATAAACTAGCTAGAAACTGCATGCTTTAAAACCATATATAAAGGATGCGTACTAAGTTCTGATCTCCTTCAAGTAATATACTTTTCTTATATATTTTTTCTGTAGAAAAGGTTGATATTTGCAACATATATACTAGGCATCTACATCTACTCTATACTAGAATTTCTACTTTCTACTACTTATAGTTAGAGAGATATAAGTTGACTAAAACTAATAGAAATTTGAGGATTTGTTTGTGAGAATTTTTCTGGTGCTTTACTAAGTAGATTTAACAAAAACCAATGGTTTTAATGAAGTTTAGAAATCGAAGTTTTTTACTATAATAAGAAAAAAAGTGCGTCAATGTTTATTTATCTTCTCTCAATTGTGATCTATCACTTGTTTTAATCGATTTAGTAATTTTTCCATCATTTGCTTCCATATTGCTGTGATAAACAGTTTTCCTTCTTGTACCGCTCGATTCTCGAAATCTGATTCGTTTTCAAAACCTTCTCTTCTCAATCTTTTCTTTACTTGCACCTCAAAACTGTCTCAACTATCTAGATGGGACGATAATTTCATTAAAAAATATAAATATAATGAATTAATTCACTTAGTCACTAAAAGTTAATTTATTTGTTCATCTAACTTCTTCGTAAGTTTTGTTGTTTGTGCGCGTTATGAGCATCAGATAAAAAGAAATGAAGCAATTTTTCTCTGTTTATAACGGCGTGGGTAAATGACAGAACGCAGAAGTACTCCGCAGAAAAATAAGAGTAACTTCTTATGAGAGATTGTTCGAATAGGTAACCTACGATGCAAAAGTAATTGCCGAAATCTCCAGCCACAGTTCTCCGCTTAGGAACATCTTGAAAAATGATTTTTTTTTTTTTTTATTGAAAAGAGCAATGCCTGAACTACAAATTTTGTAATTACCAGTCGTATGTTTCTAGAACGAATCTGTGAAGGAGGAAAAGCTAAAACTTCAACACTTCTAAAAAAAAGATCTTGCAACTTTTCTTGAAACTTGAAAAATGTGTGTTTCTCGATTATTTTAGACTACATGAGCTAAAATTTAACAAAATATACACCAAAATGTAGAGCATCAAAAACTGTAACGATATCAAAATTGTTTAACATTTTTAGATTCATTCTTGGCTGTTTAATCGAAAAGATTTGAAAACTGAAATTTTTCTAAAAACTAGTTTTTTTCGAAGAACTATCATTGTGAAAGAATATCAGCCACCATCTCCAAAAACGATATATGAAGTCGATTTCTTTTGCATTGTTTGTTCAAAATATGTCAGATCATAGAAATTAAACTGAAAAAATAATTCAAATAATATTTTGTTACCGCTACAAAACGGCCAAGTAGTAAAAAAACAACTGGATTATTCAGTCTTTTTCAGAGAAAGCAACGTGTTTATATTAAAACTAGAAGCAAATTTGGCTTCCAATATATGATTGGAAAGAGCGTTCTTTAGACTACATAAAACAACATGAAAAGTATTTTTTTCATTCTCTCCTGACATTAAAAAACAAATAAGAGAAATTAAAAAAATGATGTTGCTCACGGACCAAGTTGCAAGAACTTTTTTTAGAGGTGTTTGATTTTTGTCTTTTCCTCCTTCTCAGATTTGTTCTAGAAAAATATGACAGGTACAAAATTTGTAGTTCTGACATTGTTCTTTTCAATAAAAACAAAAAATATTTTCCAAGATGTTCCTAAGCGGAGAACTATGGCTGGAGATTTCGGCAATTACTTTTCCATCGTAGGTTATAATATTTTCATCTGTACTCTTTGAAAAAATAAATCCAAAAAAATTCTATTAGTTTTAGGTACTTGTATATCTCTGATTATAAGTAGTAGAAAGTTGAAATTCTAATGTAAAGTAGATCTAAATGTCTAGTATATACGCTGCAAATATCAGCTTTTTCTGCTAAAAAATCATATAAGAAAAGTATATTATTTGACTGGGATCAGAACTTAGTACACACCCTTTATCATTATAATAACTTTCAATAATTCTTTGCATATATTTTCTCCTTCCGTTAGTGAATAGCTTTAGGAAATTTTTGATACTATCAGTCTGTCCTTCTTTTCAAGAATATTCATTAGAAGAAAAAGTACAAAATAATGTTTTAATGTAATCTAGCTTCGTCAAATCATATTTGAAAAGACTTCTTTGATTGCATCACTCCCCATTTCAAAACATTGTTGATTATCAAAAGGATTCAACTAAGTGTAATTGTCATCTTTTAATTACAAAGAAGCCTTATAATTTAGGAAGGATCGGCATATTGAAGTGAATGCTTGCTTTTCATTAAAACTTTAATTATAAACGATGAAGTCGAGTTTTACATAAAAAAAGAAAAAAAATAATTAGACCTTAGAAAATCATTTGAAACCTTTGGATGGTATATTATTATCTATGAAGTATATAAGACTATCATTTCTTCTTCTTCTTCATTGTTAAGAAAGAAGAACGTTTTGATCTTATTTGAATGATAAATTTGCTTACGTAGTTTTCAAATGAATTTAACAAGAACATTCAATGATCAATGAAAATCTAAATAAAGTATATTCTTTGTCAATTGAAGTAGTTAAGAGAAAGGTTGATTATCTATTGTCTGTTAAGATTGTACATTATGAATATCCTGCTGAGATTAGTATATAATTAAAAATATAATAGGAAAAAGAAAATTAGTTTTTGAAAAGATAAATTTTAGTAATAACGATCCGTTGAGAAGAGAATGAATAACTTCATAGCTCTTCCAAGAAATTGTACCTAACCAATTCTATTAAGTTTTTCTTAGAACGAAATATTCCGTATCTAAATAAAATATTAACTTATGTAGATGAGGTAAATCAGTTGAGAACCGTCCTTGCAGTGACTAGAAAATAAGTACTAACTAAATTTGATATAGTTTATTTTTTTTTACAACTATATTATAGTCTTCATGAATTCTATTCAACAATCTCTTGTATGTTTACAGTCAATTCTTTAAAAACATCATTCTATTTTTCACATTATTTGTGAGAATGAAAGAAAGAACATTGTTTATTTCAATAAAAATTAACAACAGTATTTTATTCAACGTCGAGGTTCAAGAGATGATATCCTTCCATAGATTGAATTCACCGGTTCCCTCCCCCTTCCTCAAGAGTTTTAAAGCGTCCCTTCGAATGAGAAAACTTGAATAAAACACTAATCAGCAAGAAAGACTCATGAGTATATGTATTCGTAAAGTAGAATATACACCTCTATTCATAATAATCTTTCTTATTAGAGTACTTTTTTTCCAGATAAGCTGGATAGATCTTACTCTCTGAAATCTTTTAGAATGCCAACCATGATAGTTTTAATGAGAAAATTTTCTTTTGAGCTCTAAATAAAAAATTAAATCGTCGTCAAAGATTTTAGTAATAATAAGAGAGGTAAGATAATGTCCTACTCGTTTTCTGATCTCTCAAAACATTACAACGTCGATGAAAATATTTTCTCACAAATCTTTCTTGTCTGTATATTTATAAGGCAATGGTTGACATAAGAGGTCGTATTAGCATTAATTAATACTTATTCTTAATGCTTAGACATGAGTATTAAAATTATTCCTTGATCTTTGGTATTAATTAGTATTAGATTTTATTTAATGCAAACGTGTTAGTATTAACTTAGTATCGTTTTTAATTCTAGCACATCTACTAGCTGCGACTAGACTTTAGAAAAATTCAATGTAAAAGTTTTCAAGAATAACAATTATATTCTATTTTGAGAATAACACTGCTGAGTCTAAAAAACAAATGACCTGTTTCAGGAAAACAATTTCTAATAACCGAAGAAAGTCACTTTATTACTGAAAACTTTAAAGCTTAAACTTTTAGAAACCTAATTGGAAGTTGCAAATTTTTTAGAAATGCAAGTAATTCTAATCTATTGCTAACGCCTTTACATAAAATAATTCTAATGCCAAATAATAGTACAGCATGCCGATTAATTTCAGTAATTAGTCTGAGACGCATTAGCTTTTTTTTTTACATACTAATGCTAAAACATCCTCAAATTAGAAATGCCATTATATGGTTAAAAAAAATTGTTGTAGACAGCAAAAGAAATAGAGTTATTTTTTGTCTCACTGAAACATAATGAACTCGCTTGTGACCAATAAAATTAAAAAACAGACTGTTTTTTCCTGCATGAAATATCACATATTTTTACTAGATCCATTATTCAAAGAATGACGGGAAAAAATTTATTTCATGATTTTGTCATTCACTGAATGAAAAGCAGCAACACATTATGTTAATACGCGTAGTTGCATCGTTACACATCCGTTCCTGATAATATTTTTAGAAACAATATTAAACGAGATTCTTAGTTGCATTTATACGCAAACTTGATTTACTGAATCGATTTTTTTTGTTTTGTAAAATTTAGAATAAATCAAGACATTATTCATATATCAACTAAACAAAGTCAACTCATACTTTTCATCAAATATTAACAACAATAGTGGTCGTATCCCAATGGTTTCCACTTTAGTACAAGTTCATGCTATATGTATGATTTTATCTTTTATAACTTTCGGCTCTACGGGTATTTTGATCGCACGTTATGCACGTTCATTACGTTTTGGAACTCGTAGACAATTACTTGGCAAAGCTGTTTGGTTTCAAATACATCGATTTCTTCTGTCCATATCTTCTTTATTAATACTTCTAGGTTTCGTTTTTGCTTTTGCCCGTGCTGGTGGTCAATGGGTAAATCCCCAAACCGAAGATTTACGTTTATTTGCTCATTCAATATTAGGTGGCATAATTATATGTTGCACTATGATACAAATATGGTTAGCATTATATCGTTGCAATCCTCATAGTCGATTTCGTTTTATTTTTAATTGGAGTCATCGTATCACTGGTTTATTGGCTTTTACTCTGTCAATTCCAACGATATTTCTCATCATATATCGGATATCAAAATATCGCACTGCTCTCATTATAATTGTTTCACTTTGGACTATCTGGATAGCCGTCGTCGTTATTATTTTTGAAAAAATTGAACATAAAAAACGAGTATCTCCGCCACCAACGACAAACAATATCCGACAAGATGATAGGAATCAAGAGAATATCAATACAAATTCACGACCAGATACTGAAGCAAATGCACAAACAAATGTTGGCAGTCAATATCATAATACAATAAAATTACTTTTACTTCTCATTCATATTGTGATTAGTATTATTCTTTCTGTTTTACTCATTGTATATATTTGCAAATAAAATAAATATATACAAAGATTTTTTCAGATGCGAATTTCTGCGAAAGTTTAAATATTATTACAGCTGATTTGTTTCTTTTACAGATAAAATAGATGCAGAATAATTGATGTTATAATATTCATAATGCAAGAAAAAAATATATTCTATTAAAGCATTTTATCAAATCTATTCATCTGAGAAAAATATATCAGCAATGTTTTCTAATTAAATGAACAGCTATTGAAATATAAAACAACATACAAAAGTCAAAAACTTCTAGGAAAAACATAAAAATATAATAAAAATCTATTGAATATGAAGTTGCTTCAAAACATTTTTCATAAAGACTTCCAGTTGTGAATTATTTCAAAAAACAAGAATTTTTTGAAAAAGTAATTAGTATATTCAAGCATAATCTTATTTCATTCATGAAACACATCAATACAGTCTGATAAGATATTTACCTTGTTTTTATAAAATTTAAAACAGTTGGAAAGTATAATCAAATTCGTTAAGCTATTTCAAGACGAGAAATACATAACTAATTGCGGATGTCTCATAATAAATATGAATGTAATACATGTATCTATTTTGTTAGCAAATAAAGCCTAGGAAAATATTTTGGAAAAAAAATTATTGAATTTGATTGTACGATTTAATGTGCGTAAAAAAAAAGAAACCAATAGAATAAAATGTCTCAGGAATCTTGTGAAATATGACCCGATGTCATTTTAGAATAGCGCATTGTGACCTTACTTCACGCATATGATCGTTTGCCTTTTATTCGAAGATAACGAGTGAGAATGCATCATAGAGTAAGCTATATTTGCATTTGCATTTGCATACATGAGATTTTTATATGAGCCTTGAATGTTTATATCAGTCTTTCAAATGACATATTATTAGATAATATTTTCTCGTTTAATAATAAAATATATACATGAGAGTGTGAGGATATATTCCTTGCAATCTACTAGGTCTGACCAAAAGTTCTGGCAACATTAAAAAAAAAATAAGAAAACAGAGAGATATTTTTCATTTTATTTTATGAAATGTTAAGGATAGTTGTCATGATTATTTGTATCAAGTTCAATTCTTTCTAACAATTTATTAAAAGTTTTTTTGAACTCTTTTTCGACAAAAATTTTAGCTACTTTGGATACTGCATGAATACATAATATTTCATTTATTTAATTAAATAAACTCCCCTCGATAGAGCTACTTAATCAAATATTGGGTAGTATTAGGTACGCCGAATATGACTGTTGTGGCATTATATTGATGCCTTCTTCTGTCAAATAATTAATAACATCGGATGAATATGAAGTCAACGATGATCCTCAAGCAGTTTTATACATTTTGCAATTTATACTTCTTTTTGTTTTCATATTGCATTGACAAAAGGCTACAGACAATTTTCAATATAATACTTATAACCTACTGTCATGCCTTTATCTACACTCAAGGCTATTTAATTTAAATCATATGTCAAACAAAGTTTGTGTTCAAATCTATCTCCATGAACAATAGTCTTTGACGATTCATCCTCAATAAGCCAGCTAGAATCAGGTGACTTATGATTAACCTATATAAAATAAATCTATACTTCGTCACTAGTACTACTAGAATGCAAGTGACAACATCTAACAAAACTTCGCTAAAATTTTAAAACAAATGAAACATGAGTAGCTCATGCGGTATCCNCCACAGAATAGAAACCTACTGGGCTTCTATTGCGATCAACTTTTTTCATATTGCAGCTGGGATTGTATTAACTTTCAAGCACCAATGTGCTGAAAAATTAAAATTGGAATCTTTATACTATCGAACCAAGAAAATAATGCGTTGTCAAAAATAGGTTTCATACTAAAGCACTAATGTATTTCAGTATTTCATGGGACTTGCTATAATAGGAAGTGTTGTTGGTACGATACATTGATTTGGGGTGCTGTCAAATTTTAAAAAATTTTAAAAAAGATTCTGTTAGACATATATGAATATGATTCTACTGAACGCCTTCATCATAAACGCTTATGTATACTTCAGATATGAAATATGAAAAGCAATTTATTTCAACTACCATGACACAAATGAATATTGAAGTAAAACTTTGACGATAGAATAAGGATCTTTCATTTCTAAGAGAATGATGAACAAGATCTTATAAGTTTTATAATAATCGTTATCGCATCTTTGCTCATTAGTATCTGTTTTTGAGTCTTATGAATCCTCGCATACTTGATATCAATCATAGTTGAACATTTTGAGAAGTCTCATTTTCATTGAAAAATTTACATATTGTGCTGTTAAGTAAGCAAACTTTCGCTCATTCAGTTTTTCAACTCTATATAATTTCACAAAAGTAAGAAACTTAAGAGGATAATAGTAATGTACGGCAATTTCTATTCTATAGTTCTTAGACAGCTAAAATTTCTTAATATGTATACCGTGTATATTTCAATTTTCGATAGAAGCTCATATATCTGTTGGCATAAAATACATAAAAAATTAAGAAAATAAGACATAAATTGAGCTATAGCTAAACAAGGAAAAGCAACAAGATTATCGATCCATTTTAAATCCTCTGTTTGATGTTTAATTAAAACAGGGTGGGCTTCTAATATGACAGAAAAATTGTAAACCAAAAACTGAACTTCTATTCCGGATGAGCTTTTATTCTGTGGATGGGTTTATACTTAATTACTGGTATCATTTAAGAATAGAAAAATCTTCTGAACATTGATAGTCTAAAAGGGCTTACGAGAGATACTGTAATATCAAAAGACTTACGTCTGCTTCTTGTATTAATGGGATGTAGATTGTAATGACTAATACAGCACGTTGGTAATGTATCGATGCTGTTTAATAAAGAAAATGAAAGCATTGTATTGTTTATATACATATCGAAAAAATGTTTGGGTTGCGTGTATTCAACCGTAGACGTGTAATAAAGCATGATCATATATTGACGAGAAAAACTGGCTTTTTTCCCACAAAAATATTATGATTCGTTTGCTTGTTCTATCATTTATCGATCAGACACCTTAAATAATGAAAAGAGAAAGTTAATCGATGATTGAAAAAATGTACATAATATCACGCTTTTATTTTTCTTTCTGTCGTTGCACAGCATAGGTAAAATATACAGGCTTCACAAGTAATAGTACATTAGTTTATATCGTCTATTCTATTAAAAGTGAACTCAACCCCGAGTGAAGGTACTCGTCAAGAGAGTACTCAAAAAGTACTCAGGCTAGAAAATGCTGCGAGTACTCATCAATAGTACTAATACTAGAATCAGAGTACATGAGAACGATATTCGAGTACTTATTGTGTAATATTGGGACTTTTGTGAGTATTCATATACAGTTTTTGTGTACTCTAATGGTTTTTTTAAAATAGTCATAGATCTATATTCCATTCAGTACAAGTGTGTTAAATCTATTTTATTTAAATATTACATTAAAAATAAAAACTACATTAATACATTACGAAACTTTAAAAAAACGAAATTTGAAAATTTAGGATTTTACATCAAGTTAATTTTTTTTACATAAAAAATCGATACTTCTCGTCATTAGAAAAACAGAATGATTAAAGAAATTTACGCATTCAGAACAAGAAATCATTAGTAAAG